CCCCAGGGTCTTTCGCTTTTTTTTTCCAAGAAGAAATTTTGAGTTTCCTAATTTAGTAATTTTTTTGCGATGCAGATGTGTTTGGGAAAGAGTTTTTTATATTAACTTTTTTTTTATAATATTAGAACTTAAATATTTATATTATAAAAAAATCAAAAACAACAAGCTAATTAATAAGTTAGTAATAATCTTTTTTAAATAATATATTAAAATAGTCAAAGATAACAAATTTATTTTTATTTTATTTTATTTTTTTTGTCTCTGATCAGACTACAAATGAAAATATTTATTAATTCAATTTTTGGACAACAATAATACAATATACATAATATTATACTAAAGCTAAACTAGCACAATTTTGTAGAACACCTGTCAATGAATTTAGATTTGTATATGATCCTTGAATCCTTAATATCAAGACCACCATGTTGCTCACATGATTTAGCTATTTACTAATTATCTTACTACAATGGAGTAGGTTCATTAAGCTATTATTGTATAATACTAACTATCTTAGACTTTTTAAATCTAAACTCTCTAGGTGTGATTATAGGGAATGATAATATTGCTCTTTCTCAAGACAAGGCATCATAGTTTATGTTTTGAAAGATCACTGCCAGCCTACATTCAGACTGTCACCTCCAAACAAACCTGTGGTCCTAAGAAATAAAAAAATTTTTTATTTTTTAAGAAAAAAAGAAGGGGATAATAAGAGTAGTTGAAAAGTTTGTTTTGGTAAATAAAAACCCTCCAATATTAACTTCGGTCCATCGGGATAAATCCTTTACCATCACCTGCAGCCAGGTGAACTATTTAATTTCTACCATTCTCTTGTTGACCAAAAACGTTCAAGGTACTTAATATAAGACTTATATGCTGCTTGAAACAAGTCTTATACCCATTGGGAATTATTGCTTGAGACAAGACTTACATTAATTCTTGCTGCCTTCTCGAGATAATCAACAAAAAAGGAAGCTTCTTACTGGATTGGGATGAGACTTCTTTTGATCTTGAAAGGGAGAGAAACACCATAACACTTCTTAACAAAAAGAGCACCTCGTCACCTTGCTCTTTTCACTATATCCAATTGCATTATCAGGTTTTGTGTTGTATGAGATAGGGCACATGGGAGTTATGTATCTTGTTTACATTTCTTGCTACATGTAGATCAACCAGTCCTAAATTCAAGCCAATCATCATTTAAGAATTCTGGTGTATCCAAAAATTCAGAGTCAAACTGAGATAGGCAAAATTCTCCAAAAAAATCAGGAAAAAGTTTACATGCTTGAAAAGATAGAAGAAAGCTTGAGGAAGATAAGAGAAGAGTTTCAAAAACTGTGCCAATATTTTCTAGAGTCTTGAATCTCTGGAGGAAGAGAGAAGAGTGTTTTTCCTATAGGTTCTTTTTCCTAACAAGTTTTCTTGCCTTTAACTTTATAGGTAGGTATTTTTTATATTTACTTGCAAAAATACAAGAAGTTTATGTCAAAGAAAAAAAGAAAATAGTGGGGGGACTGTAGTTCTTGGTGTAAGTGTTGTTAATGAAAGTGTATAGACTTTATTATAAAGAAATATAAAAATTTTCTTGGAACATCTGTTTTTTGTATTGGCAAAGGGATCAGCAGAAAGAGTTTTATTCAAAGGTAACAAATTTATACAAAGTGAATTTATATGTATTTACTAAATAATTTTAATAAAAAAGATATATATCAGTTATTTATATAAAAAATTAAATTTGTATATGTAATAATAAATTTATAATTTTTTAATACATAAATATTGATATAATTAATCAAATGTAATTAAAAAATTACTTAAGAATAATTTAATATGAATTAAGAATTTTCAAAATTTTAAAATCTTCAAAAACCTTTAAAGATGATCAAAGTTTTTTTTAAAATAATTTCTAGATATTTACAAATAAAATTTCCTGATGAATTAATGTATTGACAAATCTAATAATCAAATAAAATCTTACATTTAATATTTGTTATGTCAAAAAAAAATTTTTTTTACTATTATTAAAATTAAAAATTAAATAATTTCTTTTATATAAAAAATATAAATATAAATATAAATAAACTTGTTCTTAAGATATTAGACAATATTTATAAATCTTATTTAATATAAGTAATTGATTGTTAATTATAATCAAATATAAATATCATTTATTTTTTTAATACCACTGTTTATTAATCTCTTAAAAATCAACAATTGTGTTAATGTCACTGCATTTGCTTTTACCTAAAATTTCACATGACCGGTGTTATTTAATGAATAACAAAATAAATACAAGTAAATAAAAAACGCAAAGTTTTCTCCAATACAGAACAGAAGTAATTTAATAGCATGAATTAATCCGTATACATAGTAAATATAAATACAAATATTTTTGATTAAATTAATCGTAGAATATATAATCTGAAAATAATTATGTACACCAAGGGTTTAAACGTTACACGAGTCTTAGTTTACATGTTTAATTCGAATTTCATTCCTCTCAAATTTTTCAAAGGAAACTAACTATTCACTCGTAAAAGAAATAGTATCTGTAATATGAAGTTCCATTTGTTTGGATTCTGTTTAAATAGAGTTCGATTGTATTAAACAGATTCGTATTGTAAAAAGCAAAATCAAATTGATAGTTACATCACTTACCAAGCAAAAGACGACTTGTATATACAGCTGTAGAGTGGGTATCAGAATTAAGTTGTGAAAAATCGATCGAATGATCTTGTTGTGAACGCGCAGTATCTTCCTCAATAGATATGACTTGTCTATATATCTCCGATTCCACATTTTCAAGATTTACATCAACATAGTAACGTTGTAGAGTTTTCGCCAGTTTACTCGAGGATGGGCGACTCTCGAGATTTTTATCCAAACATCTGTGTATCAAATCCAAAAGAAGGTCGGGAACCGGGCCTCTGATTTCTGGGCGATGGCCGTTGCAAATAGAAAGCGCAAGATCTATATTGTGTGAAACGTTATGATAAGGCCGGTAACCTGTAAACACTTCTATCATAACAACTCCAAATGAGTATACATCTGATTTCGGAGTATAATCTTTCCCTTTTAGTATTTCTGGAGCAACATACGGAAGCACACCATAAACTTCTTTAGTCGGGCCCGAACTTGTTGGTTTGCATAAACCAAAATCTGTAATATACGAAGTACTTTTGTCGGCCATCATTATGTTACCCGAATGAAAATCTTTATGTACAAGACCTTCTTTGTGTATTAGATGAAGACCATGAGCTATAAATCGCAAGATATCTAACTTTTTTTTCCAATTTAACCCATTATAATCTTTGTCTAGCATTGATCTAAGGCTTCCTTTTTCTGCAAATTGCATAACCATCACAAAGTCACCATTCTCATTTTTCGTGATACCATAGATCTCAATTGCATTGTTGCTTTTTCTGAACTTGAGTTGATTCTTGATCTAACATTAATTAGCAATAAGAACATTTGCATTTCGACACGCATGAATGAAATGTATCTTAAATATTACCTCTTGAAAAAATTCTTTCGTAAAATGCTTGAGACTTTTTAAGCAAGCTACTTCATATCCATCCCATGAAGTCTCTCCACTTCTCTTCCATCTGTTTTTTTCGTGATCCCACCATTCAATATATCCTTCAGCCCAAACGGCCTTGGAAACCTCACCAAAACCACCTCTAGCAACGTATTCTGCATCCTTGAATTTACCATAAGGAATCCACTCAATAAATTCTCTGCTTTCATTTGCATTGCGTTGTATCTCACGAATAAATTCGTCAACTTCTTTATCACCGCTCGTCCAATTTTTCCATTCTTTCATAAATCTTTTAGCATTGCATGGTTTGCACCATTTATGCCCAGTGTTTGGTTGTTGACATTCCACACATGTTTTAAAATCTTTTGTTCCTTCGTTATCAGAACTAGACTGTGAACTGTCATTGAAAATCGATTGTTTGTCTTGTTGGTCATTCATATTTTCATTTGGTACAAAAAATAACGATATATTTTTATATCAAAAGAATTGTCTTGTAAAAATCCGTGTTTAAGTTGTAATTAATATGATATAAGTAATCCTTGTGGGCTCATCATATTGCCCAGCAAAAAAAAAGGGTGGAGAGGAACGCTAGAGAACATATTTAAAAACTGGTATATTCACAAGAAATATTACATAATACAATTAGAAATTTTCAACTATTATTGAAACTAAACTCGTCTATTTCTTGGTTATACACGGTGTATAAAAGTTACACTGTCGTGACAAAAGCTTTGTGGTGGGACTCAATTTAGCAATTTTATAAAATTTATGTATAGATAACTAACTCAAATGAATCTCGACAATTATAAATATAAAAATTTCTTTTTTTATTTCTCTTATAAGAATATTTATTTTTTTATTTCCCTTTTTTATAAAGACTTGAAAATTCTCAATTTAATTGATTATGCAATAATTTGAAACAAGATTATTATAAGTATAGAATATGTATAGTATCATTAATCTGTTGAAATGTTTGTACATTATTGAGATTAGTGTATATTTGCTTAAACAATTGTTTTAAAAAATATTACAATATAACTTATTATTTATTTTTTTATAAAAATATAAAATTTCATTATTTTATTTGTGCAAAGATATTTAAAAATTAATTTTATAAGAATATTTAATTGATTTATAATTGAATTTAAACTTGCAAAATATATGTATTATATAAAAACATATAAATTATTGCTTTATCTAAAAAAATTCCATTTTATTATTTTAAATATAATCCTGATTATATATGTATTTATATCCTTATAAAAATTTTTTTAAAATTTTTAAATAATATAAAAATATATTATATTCTATTATATATATAATTAGAATTGCTTTATCTGATAAATTTATATATTTTAGACCTATGACTTTATAAATTATCAAGAGAAGGTCTAGAATTCAAACCTATCTGATATAATATGGGAAAAGATAACACATCTCATACTAAATTCTGAGTTCTCTACAATATTAAAATGAAAACAGTAGTATCAACTAAAATAAGCATAATAAAAACTAGCATAAGTCTAAAGAAAGAAAAATATTAAAAGGAAGAAAGTATATTCACAATAATCATTATTGCATAACTGGATTATGCAAGAATTGATTATAATACTATAGGATCGAACAATAAAATTATGTAATAAAAGTAGTATAAAAATCAAACAACAATTGCTTTGTTATAAGAATATTTAAAGTTGTTTTTAATTTATATTTATCATTTTTATTATGTAATAAGTATACAAGAATATATAAAAGAAAGAAGAAATCAAATAAATAAAAAAGAAAATTAAGTTCAGTTAGAAAATTTTTTGATCAACATCAATTTTGCCTTACTATTGTAAGAGGGACTGAAAAATTAGATAGATTCAATATATGTTATCCTCACCCAATTGGGGCTTGAGGGCTTTTTGGGATTTTTGGGATTTCTTAACATGTATATAAAAAGAGGAATGTACTAGAGAAAAAGTAACAATAAAATACTATTCTTTTACTATAAAACTCAGACTATTATCTAACACTTTCACTTACCTCGTGCCACATCTCCATGCCTCTTTCGATGTTACACGATCAGCGATCACGACGTAGCGATAGACTTGTCATTATAACCCCCAACACTATAAATAAAACACTTATTATCATTATATAAATTCAAACTTTTCTTAGTAACAAACTTGCCAATCCTAGTTACACTGGTTATAAAATTTACTATTTTCATAATTGATCGATTGATTTTTAATATATGTTATATCCAATTAGTTGAAAAATCAATTTCAAATTCAGTTAGGCTATATAAAAATAGAATCCCTGATTTTCTTGACAATTGTAAGCTAAAAACAGGTTGAAGCAAAAAAAGTTACATAGAAAAAGCTTCTGGTTTAACTTTTATTTAAGTTCATATCTCTTTCTAATATAATAGACTTTATAATAAGAAACATGTTAATTGAATTGGACTACTTTAAAAAGAATCATTATAGGAACATAGATGTATAAATAATATCAGAAATTTTATAAAAGTTATACTCTATTTGGTATACATGCCTCTAGATTTAGCTGCTTAAGCCAACTAAGAGCTTATATAGTATTTATTGAAAAATTTAAGAGTTGTATATACTTAGTTATTTAATCTTCAGATTTGATAATATATATTAACTATAAAAACAACTCTTGAAGTATTTATTAAAAAATATAAAAAAATAAGACCATAGATCTAATAGTTATATAAGCTATATATATAAATATAATAAGAAATCTAATAATAATAAATATGTCAAAAATTAAAATTATATATAAACATAAATCCGAATATAGATATACTTATAAAGTATAAGTTAGTATCTTGATAAAATATAATAAGTGGTATCAATTAATTAGTAATAATTAATAATTAATCATATAATTGGATAATTTGATCTTTATTAATTAATAAAAAACAGTATATATATTACACTTGATCTTTAAAAATAAATAAATAAAATAATATATATATATTTTATAAACTTATTTTTTAATTTTATTATTAAATTAAATCAAAATATTTTTATTGTATTATATTAAAATAACAAAAAAAAATTTTTTAATATCAAATTATTTTTAAATTTATTAATTTTTATATAACTATTATTATAAAAATCAATTAAAAAAACTTATTTATAAAAAAATTATATTTATTAAATTATGTTTTAAAATATTTTATTTATTTATATTTTATAATAAATAAACATTATTTTTTTATTTTATTTGTATAATAAAATTATATATTCTAAAAAACTTTTTTTCACTTATTTTCACTTTGTTTGAAACTTTTTTTTTCAAAATTTTTTTTCTTTTTTACTTTTATACTTATTTTTCTTGACTTAAGAATCTGTAATAAATTAAGACTGAGCATGTTTAAACCATCAAAGCTTCTTTAACTGTCTAATTACTTAGAAAAGCTCTTTTGCTTAGAAAAGTATAAACTAATTAATTTCTTGTATATAGCAAAAATCTAAGATAAAAAAAAGTTTTGTCTTAACTTTTCTTCTGTAAAACTTTGTATATATCTAAATATAATAAGCAAAGAAGTATTTAATTTTTTTTCTTTATAGTTTTTCTTTTTTTTAACTTCTTTTTTTTATTAATAAACTGTTTTTTTTTTCTCTTAAGAATTTTCTTTTTAAATCTTTCTTTTCTTTTGTCTGCCATATGTTTTAATCCTCTGAATAATTTCAAAAACTCTATCTAAACAAAACTAGGCATTTTGCTTTAAATTGAAGTACTTCTTTATTAAAATATAAGTCTTAATAATAAAATATTACCCTTAATTTGGGAGGTTTTATATAGAAAAGATCAAATTAACATATTTTATTATGAAAGGTTAACAAAGTTCAAGATAATGATTTTAAGTTGTAAAAGTTCTAAATATGCCTTTTTTAAGTACTAAATTAAATACAAAGCTAACAGATAAGAACTAAAAATATGAATGAAAAGTATTTGATAGATATAAAACTACTAACAATATTTATTTATATAAAAAAACTTATGAAAATTATATAGAACATTAACAAACAGTCAAGATATTTTACTTTATGATTCTGAAAATTGGAATTGAACAGAATTACAAGAAATCACATAAGGTTCAAAACACTATTAAAAATAATAGTGAAATATATTCCACTTATTAAATTTAATATAAACTTGAGAATTGAATATAGAGTTGAAGAGAATTATTAGGATCTTTATTTTACTTCAAAATATTTTTTAAACTGATAACTAATTTTTTATTGATTTTAATTCAAGAAGTTTGATGAAAAAATTACCTTTTTGTCTTATCAGTTACTCTTAAGTTTGTTATAAAAAACTATAATCAGTTTACTTCTATCAATTAATAAGCAAAGATTGATTATATTATATAAGACTAGAATTACTTATAAATAGACTCACAATTATTTTTTACCTATTGTTCTTATATAAAATTATTTATTAGATTAAGTGGTTTAAACTAATAATAGAATTTCCATTTTTTAAATAAGTTCTCTTGAATATATATAATTTATTTTAAAAATAATTAATATATTGTTAAGTATAAAAGTAAATAAGCCAGTATTTAGCTATTACATAACAATAAAGAATATTTGATATATATTTTGAATATTTTTGATGAAATTTTCATTATATATTATTTTACTATAAAAAAATTATATATTATAATAGAACTAACATTTTTTATATATATAGTTTTCTTTCAATAAAGGATGGACCACTTAAGAATTATTATAATTAAATGAAAATAGCTGTCATATATTAAACTTTTTATTTTATTAATAAAAATAACCTTTATATATTAAGTAAACATGTTCCTTATAATTAATTATATATATGGTTAAATTTTATTATTAAATATAAACAAACTTTTATTATTATGTTTAGCAATTTTTTTCTAAACAAAAATTTTTTAATTTTTTTATTAAAATTTTGACATACATACAATTTTTATAACCACTATTTTAACAAAAATTTTATATTAATAAATTTTGTTTAACATATTTTAAAGTATTTAAATATTAAGTTTTATAAATTTTTACATAGTATTTAAATTTTTATTTAATAAAATGTAAAAACATTTATTTCAACAAAAATTATAAAATTAAATATTAAATATTTATTCATATTTAATAAAAACTTTACAGTATATGTATTTTATATTGAAGAATAACTTTTCTTAGTACATAAAATAAGTTTTAATAATAATAATAATAATTTATATGTAATTACTATTAGTAATTAATTAAAATTAATTCATAATTATAATTTATAAAAATTTAAAATTTTGTTATTTTAAAAAACTATACATTAAAATCTTAAGTATTAGATTAAAATTTATAAAACTTTATATTTAAATACTTATTATATGCTGAACAAAATTTATTAATATCAAATTGTTTAATTGAAACAATGGTTAT